CCCCCGTTCTCACCCTCCCAACCCTGCACTCCCGCAACCGCCCACCTCTCCACCCTCACACTCACTCAATCCCGCACCCGCACACTCGCCCACCTTTCCCTCCCACTCTCCCACTCTCTCCATCCCGCACTCGCACACCCGCTCACACTCCCAACAGGACGAGTTGCTCACAGCCGCAGCGGTTGAGTTCTGTGTCCACCTGGCGCAGCGCCCCGTCATCGCCGGCCGCAAGGCGTCGCGCGCCATACACGCGCCCGCGCGGCGCATATCGCGCACGCTCGTCTGCCTCGGGCGCGAGGTGGGCGGCTGGCGCCCGCGGTTCCCCTCCCCACCCCCTGCAGGTGCCGCGTCGCATGCACCTGCGCGGGCAGCACACGCGGACCATCGATCTGGGGGCAGCAGCTGCGACGGGCGCCATTGCCCTTGCAGCAACGCTGCCTCGGACGCTCTCAAGTGATACACACGCATGCTTTTGGACCATCTCTGTGCACATCACACAGGACGGCGTACCTTTCGGGCACTGTGTGCTGAGGCACATACAGTCAGCGGTGGTTGCCAACCGCTCAGACGTGCAGCAGCTGGCGTTCTGGTGGACCAACGCCTGCCACATGCGCGGGTTCCTGCAGTCGCTCAACCTCGTCATGCCGCATGACGAGGTTAGTTGCTGATGATCTGATCTGATCTAATCCCACGCACAGCTCCCAGGGAATATAGTGCACTAGCTCAAGATCAAGGGAAGACTCGGCCTCTGAAGAGGGTGTCGTGTGTCGCTGCGTGAGTGCATAGCAACGCGCTGCTCAACACACACACCCGCGCCGCTTCGCTCCAACGTCAGGACGGGGGGCGCGCCGAGCTGCACTGGGCGCCCCAGGTGCGTTCCGCGAAATGACGCTGCACCAGCTTCACCCAGGGACCACAAAATCTACGTGCCTTACGAATCCGCCGGCTCCATCGCCGCCAGACCCCGCCCCAGGCACGCCGCCCGCTTTGCAATCCAGATCCCGCACTGGCACCCAAGTGCTCGCGCCCGACCCCCACGCCCCGCTGCCCTCAGACGTTTGTCCCGCGGCTGCTGGGCCAGGAGAAGTTCATATTCGACGAGCTCGTGTCGTACGTGTGGACGCACACACTCATCCCAAAGGTATGTCGTCCAGTTTGACTTGACTCACACAAACACACACACACACACACACACACACACACACACACACACACCACATACCACACACGCACCGACGCGCGGGGGTCCATACTGCTCCTGTCGGCGAGGTTCCGCTCTTGCATGCGTCCAGTGCATGTACAGCGCGGACGGCTTGCCAAATCAGGAGCTTTGCAAGGGGTGGTTCGTGGAGGAACACGGGACCTTCGACAATCCCTTCAGAGTGCTCCAAACACTGACCCTCCCCATGCTTCCGCTTGCGCATTTGCCTCTCCTGGCAGGCCGCGCTGGCCCGCGCCCGCGCGCCGCTGGGCGGCCCCGGCGGCTGCAGCAAGCGCGGCGCGCACGAGGGCGCGCTGCGGCGGTGGATCGAGGCCTTGGAGGCAGCTGACGCGCAGCTGCGGGGCCTCGGGCGGGAGGGTCACGTGCGCATGCTCAGGCAGCAGGTGGGTCTGGCAAGACGCCGGCCACCGCTGGGGGGAGTGGCTGATGAGGCCCCCGCTGCACAGCGCTGCGGGTGGGGAATGGCGGTTGCGCCTGGCGCACATGCTGCAGCAGCACATCGCTGCGTCCAGGCGCAGACTCAACCTCGAACCCCAAAACCTGACATGTGGGCCCCGCCCCGCTCAGCTTGCATGCCTGCAGCCGCGCGTTTTCCTGTTTGTGCAAGCGATTGAGGCTCAGCTCTCGCTCTTGACCACACCCCACCCTCCCACCGCGGCGGGGTGCGTGATCGGCCTCGCACCCCGCCCCTCCCCTTCTTCCCCTGGTCCCATGACAGGTGCTGCTGGAGATGCTCAGGCGTGTTGACGTTCTGCTGTTCCATCACCTCATCAGCCCGGACGCCCCCCGCGGCGGCGGCCCCACCCCTCCGGGCCCCGACTGCGGCGGCGGCGGCGGCGGCGGCGGCGGCGGCGGCGGCGGGGGCGGGGGC